CAGAATCTCAGTGCTGCTCTTGGTATTTACTGGAATGGTTTGTGTAAAGTAACCCACCCGGCATGAGTCTTCAAGTTCCCATTCGTCATATATGCAGCATAAAAGTTATTTTCACAAGCAGCTCTAACAAGCGAGCCAAGCTGAGCTACACTCCAGCCTTTGTGGGAATACAACACAAGAGTCACAAATGCAGTGAACTGAAAGAATTAGATTCCCAAGGAATACTTCTGCTGGACTTTTCCCATCCTTCAGTCAACTTAAGCCATGGGTCAGAGTGGAATCAGTGGTCCCAAAGTAGAAGACTTTCTAGATTGTATTGCTATTTCCAGCCAGCCCACCAGGAAGAGCAGGAATCCTGGAGGTCAGAAAGACTTTTTTTTTTTTTTCTAAATAACTTGTTTTGTTTTCTTTTGAATTTCTGAGTTGTCTAAGCTCCATTCAGAAGATGTGCTCAATGATAGCTGAATGCCAGTTCCCAGAGCATCAGAGAGAAGCAAATGTCCCTTCCGTTAGTTCATCCAGAAGGATTGCTCTTCTTTCATCTTATCAACGGCTTTTAAATATTAATGTGCCTTGGAGATTGTAGAATGAAAACAGACTGTTTCGGCTGCCTTAAAGGGAGGTTCACAGGGTCACAAGTGGAGTCACAGACGCAGAAAAATGCCAGAAAGTCTGTTTGTGGAACACACAAATATGCCGAGTTTGCTAGGTGGAGTATGCAGCTAAATTGTCGGCAGGCGGGCAGGCTGCCACGGGTCCTGAACTGCCCCATCCCCGGTTTGATCCACTGAGCACTTACGCTGCTGCCGCCTCTGCCGTCGCATGGGGACGGCTGAAGCCGACAGTCTCTGATCTTTCCGTCCCCTCCAGACAGAGCAAAGACTCTTCCAACCGCAGGGGCGTTTTTCTCTCCTACCAACTCGCTGAGAACTGTTGAGCCATCACATTCCAGATTCCCGTTCCCGGAGCGCTTTAGCCACTCCAATTAGTCTCTTAATCACAGGAATTAGACGTGGGAAAGGACTGTTGATTCATCTTCTTGTCTTTTGTCCCAGCGCCCAGTTCACTCACTGAAAAGAGGAGCCCAATTTCCCTCGCAGGTCAGGGACCAGCCTTACTGATAGCCAGGAAAGAGCACCTGTAAATCCTTCATTTCCCAGGCCAGGGAATGGCTCAAATCAACAACGAGTCCTGTCCACCTCTCCCAGGGGAATCCACCCCCTCCTCTTCCAAGAGGAAATCCTCTTGTGTTAGACGTGAGGCGGTGCATTTCCACGTTTACCTTTTCTCTTGAGGAATACCCGCATGACATAACTCAGAAATCTAGGCAGTCCCTCCTGCAACTGGTGGGACCAAGAGCCGACCATCCATCCAGTCTTCATCCCAGCCACCCTCGGAGCCTTTCCCAGCTTACTGGGAAAACCAGGCCACCGTGCAGCTCCTGTGCTCAGCATTCCTGGGGATATTCCCTCTTCTTGCTGAACCTAATAACGCCAGGCCTCGACTAAAAGCTTGAAGCCGACCTTATTACAGTAGCTCTGAGGACACAGAAATCCCACCCGTGAGGAACAATTGCTCCACAGATGTCCCAAGTATGCAGGAAAGGAACTGGCCATAAAAAAGCAATTTTAGGCTGGTTGAGATTATGAAACGCTTTTTGTGTGTGCTTGCCCAATAGTCCTTTACTCCACTTCCCATAAAATAAACACACGTAACCCTTTACCCAAGGAGGCTGAGCACGTTTAGTCACATTGCGTCCCCTTCTCTTTCATTCTTGCACTAGGCAAATCTTTCCATAAAAGGGGAGCTTTATTGCACTGAAGGGGACTCCACCAGATGTGCACCATAAACTGAGCTGGTCTGTCAAAGAAAGTAGCCAGCGTGATCCAGAGCAGGGGTAGGGTTGTCTGAGCCAACGGGAAGTTTAGTATTTCCAGTGCACTTGTTTTGAGAGGCCCTGTTGGAGATGGAGGTGTGTAAGAGCAAGTCCTTGCCCTAAAAAGCAACCCACTGTTGATGCGACAAGGGAGCGGGTGATCCATTGAGGGGAGACGTGGGGATGGGCTGAGCATCACGTAGGGATCGCTAAAGTACTCGAGGACCTAGGTAGGTGATTTGTGTGGATCTGACATGGCTTCTCTGCTGCACTTCACCTGGAAATTCCACCAGGCACCTGCCGGCACTCCTGGCACCCGCGCATCTTTGGAAATCTGGCACAGAGGGAGTGTGTGGCGAAGCTGAGAATTCAAACCAGCCCCGCAAACCCAGACAGCACTGTCCCTCACCAAAGCCTCGCAGAGGAGCTGTCGCTTTGCAAAAATGCCCTGCAATGGGAGCAGTCTGTAAGAGATGGCAAATGGGCACAGAGCCCAGGATGAAATCTCTGCAGTCCATCTCCAGTGCTCTGCAGTGAGATTAAAAGTGACTCATCCTCCAAGCAAGTGCTGGGCTCCCTGCAGAGCTCCCTGCTCCAGGGACAGAGGTGCTGAGCCACCTCCCTGCAGACAAGCTGCAGCCCAAAGGCCAGGGCCATTCTCTAAAAATTAAAGAAGTGGCTAGTTGATGGTCTAGGCGGGAGCCCAGGTGGATGAAGCAGAGCAAAAAGGGCACTGCTGGTTCCCCACCTTAAACCAGCTCTTAGACACAGGAGGAGCAGCCTCAGAGCACCCCATGCGCCAAACACACTCCCAGAGCCCCATCAGCCCACACCAGCAGCCAGCACACCCTCTCCCCAAACCACCCAGTTTGATTTTCATCCAAATCCTCCTTTTCTCATGAGTTTTCCTGTTTCTTAACCGCTTCCCAAAACAACTCACCTTTCCCAATGCTAAGTAGCAGCTTGCCTCTCCTTCCCACCTTGGCTTTGCTGTCCCCGGTCCCTCTCCCTGCCCCGGTCCCTCTCCCTGCCCATGCCTTCATCCCACCTGGGGCAGGCTCCCACCCGCTGCCCTGCCTGCGTGGTGAAATGCTGCTTTTATCCAGCCTGCTCCTGGGAGGGGAAGTCAGCCCTGCGAAGAACTGCAGGATAACAAGCAGCCCTGTGTCTGGAGAGGCTGCGCTCTGGAGCGCGCTGGCTAAGATGGAAGCTCTCCATCACTCTGGCTGGGGAAGGGGCTGTGGCGGGGACGGAAGGGGGAGGGACGGTCTTTTCCCTTCTCTTCCCTCAAGCTCTTGAAACACTGAGCTGCCTTTCAGCCTCTGTTTGTCTACAAAGTGTCCGTAACCATGTCGGTTTGTCTTTCCTTTTAGGGAGAATTGGGAGCCCCAGGTCCTCCTGGAGTCCTTGGACTCATTGTAAGTACAAAAACAAATGGAGATCTGGCTTCTCGGGGCTTTAACCCTTTCAGGCTGCATAACTGCACACAGATTTCCTTCTTCCTGTGGCAGGGGGGTGAAGAACACCACTGTTTGTATGGGGGAGGCGTGATGTCTGGGGAGAGAGGAGGTTGCCTGGTGGACTGGGAGGTGGAGGAGAGCAAAACCTGTCTAAGCAAAAGGGAACAGATTAAAGGTTTGCTGTTAGTGCCCTGATTCCGAGATAGCTCGCCCTTTTGGTTACATCTACCAGGGTATTTCTTCAGAGATGCAATATTCATTCCGCACCGAGATCTTTCAAAAAGCAAGTCCCTCTAAGCAGTAGCCTAAGGACGCACAGTTCTCGCTCACTGGAGAGACCATGGGCAGGAACCGTCTGTCCTCTGCCTATACCGAAATTTTATGTGCACTCTCATTGTCCCAGCACTAATCCAGGTAATTACATACACAGCCAAATTCCACCCTTCATTACACTCTTCCCCAGCAGGAGATAGATGGCTGTAAGGATGGGTGGCAACTCATCCTCTGGCAGCTGTGCTGGGGGTTAGTGAATGCCCAGTTGAACATATTATGGTTTATTTTTAGGTCTCAGTACTTCTTTCGACTTATTTCCTTCCACGCACAAGAAGTGGTAGGCTCTGTTAGTCCTACAGCATTCTTTCAAAATTATTCCTCCTCAGTTATGATAATCCATGAAAACTTGACTTGCAATGAATGGTTAAAAACCTTCCCCTTTTGCTTTTCCATAGCTTAAATATAGAGGTGTGCATGAGATTAAGGCCTCAATTGTCCTGAACGTTGCGCAAACATAGAGCACCAGCCCCAGGAGTCTTAGACTCCATGGGGGAAAAGCAGAGAATATGGTGAAACAAGTGTACCCATCTTGCAGATGGGGGATTGGGGCAAAGGTGGATTAAGGCTTCAGAAAGTTTTTCATGGAAGCAGGGATTAGGTCTGTGTTTCCCCTTGTTAGTGGAGATGAAAGTATCTGCTTTAGCCGTAGCAGCTGAAAGGATGTGCTCCTGGCAAAGAGCTGTAAGGGGAAGACTGCTATTTAAAAGAATACAGTTGAAGGTACTGTCCAAATTGGATCATATTTATCCTAGCTTTTGGAAAGATTTGTCTTAACCTGGTTGCTGTTATCTCACAGATATTTGGTTGTTGGAAGGTGAAAGGTCAGACAAGGTAAATGTGATTTGAGAGGTGACGGAGTCGAGGGGCAGCCTGTCTTCCCCTCCCAGTTGGCTCAGCCAGTGCCATGCTGGTACATGCTTGGGATAGATCGCAGGGGCCAGGAAGGACAGGTTTTTCCTGGAGCTGATCTGAAATGAGGACAGCCAGTGTGTGGTTTCTAACCTGCTTTGTGATCATGGTGGTTTTGTCCCACGTTGGCTGCAGTTACCCAAATGGCACCAAACTCTGTGTGAGGTACAACTTCTGACTGGCCCCAAGGTCAAGCAGTGCAGGGTTCAGCTCCGTCACCAGGTGTCTGGAGTCTGTCACATCTGTCTTGATGTCGCTCATTATGTCAGTCTCTACAGACACCTCAAATTCTAACGTTTTTGCTGGAAAAGGGCAAAACCAGCAGTTCTCCTTTTGCTGCTAAGCCTGCTCTGTCTTAAACTTTAAATATTTCTTCTCCCTTCTCATCCAGATGAAAGAATCATCGTTCCTGTTGTGAGCTTCTGCCTCACTGTACTTTTAAGGCAGAAAGTCTTTCCTTTGCAAGGCTGTTTTTTCAGGAATCACTTGCTGCAGCAGTAGCAATCAGCTGCTGTCTTTCCCAGTTAGTCTGTTGGCACCACTCTGAGCAGTTAAAATTTCAAGCAGAGATTCAGGTCAAGCTGAGGCAGATCTTGTGTCCCAGGGTAATATGCAACTCCCGAATTCGGGATGCTGAAGCATCTTTAGTGGGATTGATCTAAGATCTCCATCCTCCTGGGGAGAAGGGGACATGTCTATCTTGCATTCTCCTCTCCGTGGGACAGCATCAGCCTCCTTCCCTGGGGTCTGCAGCACGGGGCTCCCACTGCAGGCCATGGAGAAGGCGGCTGGGTGTTTGCTCCAGGCTGGCCCCCGCTCAGTCGCTTCCTTCCTTCCCAGCTACATCCACCCCCGGGGACCGGCCGGGTTCCTGGCTCCCTCCACGCACCCTGCAGGTGTTTGGGTTCGCTGTTAAAGAGAGGCTGAAGAGCAGAATTAGATGTAACTAAAGCCTCTTGCTCTCCTAATTAACTGCGTGGGCAAAGCTTTAAGTAAACGCGTTTCCACAAGAAGCCTTTATGCTGGGAGGTATGAAAAGGGCATCTGTTCAGGCGGCTGCAGCCCAGCGCTCCCAGCGTGGCTGCGAGCCCGAGACTGCCGACCAGAGAAGCGCTCCTTCAGCAGAGCCTGCCCTGTTTATTTACACACTGCAGGCAAGGCTGGTGCGCCGTATCACTGACTCCCTTCATGGGCAGAAAGCAGTCAAAGCCTGTTTAAATGCCGCCCGCTGAAGGCTTTCTTTTATACGTGCACACGCAGGTACACACAGCAACCGAGACCTCCAGTGTCCTCCTGTGCTGCAGTTTCTCCTACGAGTCCCAGTACATGATGCCATGCTGACTTCTCGCTGCAGCAGCACGGCCGCGCTGATGAGACATCTCTGTCCTCGCCTCCTGTTTCTCCTCTCTCCTCCCCATATCACTTTTACGTATCAGAGCTTGGTAGTGACCCAAACTTCTTGACTGTTGCCTTTTGGCTGTTTGGGTCTGTGTCCTTTTTAACACACCTTCAGACTCAGGAACACTGTGGTGGATTCTTTCTGAGAACATGAGTAACTTCACCAAGAATAAATACATGCCAGGATTGTCTTAAATCAGCTTGATGTTTTAATTTTTCTAATAGTGGAAGAGGGAAATTAATGCATTCAAAAGTTAGGATGAACATACCAAAAAAAATTTGTTAGATCCTACCACAGTTTCAGACTTCCAGGTGGTTTCTTAAATAATTTTCCATTATTTTGCCATTAATTTACTATCTTGAATTCCTTATGTAATTTTTAAGTGAATCCAGGAACCCAGGCTCCTGGTTTTGGAGTCTGACCACGCTCCCCGACACCCATATCTCCTGTGGCACAGGAGCAGGATGCTCATGTGTTATCCTGGCATCCAGCACACTCTGCCCAAGGGCCGTGGCCACGCACAGGCGCAGCAGCACGGTGGGGCCAGGGGGGCTGATCGTGGGGCACAGCTTGCATCTCCGGTGGTTAGTGTCAGTGTGCTTTAGGGTCTCTTCTTTGTGGCGAGAGCAAGATGTGAATAGGAGCTGTTCTTCTTCCCTCACGTGTCTGAGAGGCGAACACCCTGTACTGCTTTTACTTAGAGGAGCTCTACACATTTACAGTCTGTTGGGTCGTGCCAGGATGCTGCTTCTGCTGAAGTCAGTGGTGCGATTCCTCAGGCATACCGAGAGACCAGATAGGAGAGGAATTTCACAGCACGTAACAGCTGTCTGTTGGTTTTGCACCTAATGACTTTGGTAATTTTCTTTCTCTTACTAGGGTGACATGGGCTCTGTTGGACCGATAGGCTATCCAGGACCAAAAGGCTTAAAGGTGAGAGAATAACTGAGTTGTGCGAGCTCTTGTTCCTCCACGGCAGGGCTGAAGATTCTTCTGTTCCTCCCTCGCGTAATGGTGACCATCCTGAGAGAAAGGTTGGGCAGCAGTAATGCTTGTCCATTGACCCGGGCACAGGACTGCTGAACACAACATCCCACTGGTGGTCTGCAGTAGGTGTAAGTCAGTGGAGAATCCCAGGGGCGTTTTCGCTGGACACTTCCTGCCCATGGAGGGTGTTTAAAGAATGAATGATGGAGCACACTTTGGGAGCAGCCTGGAATTTGGCCCTGGGGCTGTGCCGGGCCAATGCTGTGGTTCTGAGCTACCAGCCCCATCAGGGACATCAATGTCATAGACCTGAGCAAGTCTTCACAGTGGCTCAGTCTCACTCTGAACTTTCTTTTGTTTCAGGGGCTGATGGGAAACCCTGGAGAACATGGACTGAAAGGTGATAAGGTGATCTGAATACTCCCTTAATTGCACTGTGTTTTAATTTTGCATGTAAAAACCCCTTTCTAGCTTCTCTTTCTTTTTCAGCACCATCATACTGGTTCCACTCTGGCTGTCTCTTTGCTCCCATCCTTTCACCCTCCCTCCTCTCTTGACACTCCAGTTTGATTTTTCTTTCTTTCATGATATATGCCCCATCCCCTTTTCCATGGAGTTCTAGTATAGATCAGTTATGCTCAGATCCTCTTTGGAGCTTCTGTAGCCCACTGATGATGACAGTAACTGTAAGATTATCTGGTGTTTCACTGGGCTTTTATGTTTTTATATTGGTTATGTGATGGGATGGGGAGGAGGATGAAGATCGAACACTGACAGTGGGTTTGCATTAATGCATTTGGGGAAAACACATGATGTGACAAAGCAGCGCAGCTCACTGGATTAAGCAAAGCAGCTGGATCCCCAGGAAAAACTGCTCTGTGTTTGGTACCTCTGCTGCTGTTCGGAGAGGCTCACCTCCGTTCAGCTTCCTGCCGAGAGGAAATTGCCTTATGCCAAACTGATATAAATCACTTCAGAAAAAGAAAAAAGGAAAGGGGCATTGATTACAATGATTTAGTGCTGGTGGCACAAAAACACACAGCTTGAGCTAAATCGGCATGAAGCTGTGTGTGTAAATGTCTCACTGTCATGAGAACCATCCTCCCACAGATATTTGACTGTAGGATTTATGTAGTCTGAAAGAGTGGGAGGTGCAATCATTTATTGTTGGCTCTGATTGCTCAGGAGGGCAATGGAAAATGACCATTAAATGTATTCTCCTCCTCCTGTCTGATCCTTTATTCTCTTGCTAGATGTTTGCTTTTAGAGAATGATTTAGCAGTCCAAAACTGCACATGGGGAAGTAGTGTCAAGCCAGTTGATTCCACTCTCCTTATATTATAGCAGCTCTTTGCCAGGGCTCCTGTGTCTGCAGTTTCCATTTCTCCCCTGTACCGCATTCTCATTTTTGTAAAGAGGAAGGACAGGGCAAGAGAAGGACTTTGTATTCCAGACAAGCTTAAGAAATTGTAGCTGGTTTCTTGACTCAACACCAAGTCCCAGAGCCCACAGACTCTTCTGTTTGCTCCTTGGAAGAAATGGTTGAATATCTTAAGAATCGCCAACATTTAAATCATTGTTTAACAAACTTAACCTTCCTGGACTTTACAGTCTCCATCCCTTTACACAGACTTCTCTCTTTATCCCCAGTATTTCCCCAGCCACTGCTATCACAGTAACCAAATGGTTTGCAGCTCTCCCAAGAGTTATCCTCACAATACTCCCAACTGCAGAATTATCCATTCTCCCCCAATAATCCCATGCTCAGTCTTGCAGCCTCTCTCTTAAGGTGCAGAAAACCTTTTCCTTCCCTCCCTCACTATCTGTCCCACTGCATTTTCCTTGGACAGGACAGACTTCCTTCCTGGTTTTCATTACATCCCTTTCCTAATCCAAGACTGACAAACCACCTCTCCTGCTCAAGGCTCCTCTGTCCCTAATGAGTTGGCTTTAGTTCTAATATCCTGGGTGCCATCAAACACTCAGATCAGACCAGTGATGATTTCAGAGCCAGAGAGAGCTTTCCAAACAGCATGTGGGCGTCCTTTCCAGCAGCCAAAGGGCTGGGAAATACAAGGTAAAGGAACATGCACCCTGACAGGGTGGTGGCTGACCTCCTGGAGAGCAGCTCTGGGGAAGGGGCACAGCTCTGCCTTGTGGACAACAGGATGACCATGAGCCAGCAATGTGCCCTGGCGGCCAAGAAGGCGAATGGCATCCTGGGGTGCATCAAGCAGAGTGTGGCCAGCAGGTGGAAGGAGGTCATCCTCCCCCTCTGCTCTGCCCTGGTGAGACCGCATCTGGAGTACTGTGTCCAGTTCTGGGCTCCCCAGTTCAAGAAAGACAGGGAACTGCTGGAGAGGGTCCAGCAAAGGGCAACGAAGATGATTAGGGGACTGGAGCACCTTTCTTATGAGGAAAGGCTGAGGGACTTGGGTCTCTTTAGTCTAGAGAAAAGAAGATTGAGGGGGGATCTTATTAATACATACAAATACTTAATGGGAGGATGCCAGGGGGATGGGAGCAGTCTTTTTTCAGTGGTGCCCAGTGATAGGACGAGGGGTAATGGGCATAAACTTGAACATAGGAAGTTCCATCTTAACATGAGAAGGAACTTCTTTACTTTGAGGGTAGTGGAGCACTGGAACAGGCTGCCCAGAGAGGGGGTGGAGTCTCCCACTCTGGAGACATTCAAAACCCGCCTGGACGCTGTCCTGTGCAACGTGCTGTAGGTAACCCTGCTCTGGCAGGAGGGTTGGACTAGATGATCTCCAAAGGTCCCTTCCAACCCTAACCATTCTGTGAATTCTGTGAACATCAGACCTGCTTAGGCATTGATGGCCCCAAGTCTTGTCTGCTCAGGTGAAGGCACACAGCTCTGGCATTGCAGTTTTTAGCCAAAGCACCCGAGTTTGCTGCACTTGTTTGCATGAGTATAAACAAAGTTCATCAGCTCTCCTTACATTTGGGGGAGGATTTGGCCTGAAATAGCTTTGTGGTTTTTTCAGTTATTTGGCTTTCTGATTTGTTGGTCTTGCTGTTCAGCTAGTTGGCCCCATTTATAATGCATCCCTTCTCCAACTGATCAAAAGGCTGATGCATTCATCTACTCACTCCCATGTTTCTTTAGTGAATGGGACCTTTAAACCTTTATATTTTCTCTCACTTCAATTTGGGCATCATGAGCAAAACCACTCATCCCTTCTTACAGCTTGTTTACATTTGTGTTTTAATTGTTTATATTCTGGTACCACTAAGAAATGTAAATGATATCTGGTCTTGCTGTTTTTGCTCAGTTTGTAGCAAGGGAAAAACTCTTCCTTCAAAGAGGTTGTGGTCTAAATGCACATGCGGTAGAAGGAATTGACATTTATGCCCTTCATGTTGTAGTCTTGTTGAGGGCTTCTGAGTCACAGAAGTGACTGAGGAGGAGGTTGCTAGAGGTGGGAAGTATACCCTGCCCTCTTGGACCCTCTCCTTGGCAGGATCATCTTTCCATTTGCTGCCTGCCTCATTTCAATGAAAATCTTTTCTATCTCAGCCTTTATTAAGAAGCTACATCATAAATCTTTCTTTCCCCCCCTTGTTTTTGCCACGTGCTTTTTAATTGAAGCTGGTCTTAGAAATATCTGACTTAAGGAAGTCCCACATATGGGAAGGTAGAGGCAGGATCTCTGTGTTCACTTAGTGCCTGGTTGGGCTTGGGTCCCAGGAAGGACCCTGCCTAGAGCAGAGGGATTGACTTGTGTTGGAGGCTCCCTTCTGTAATCTCTCACCAGTTGTGTCACTTCGTTCCTGCTGTTATTGCTATTTTTAGGCTGTGACATTTATTTAAAGGCTTTCTCTGGTTGCTTACTATTCTTTTTCTGTCCATTAGATTCTGACTTCATTATAGCCTTCCATCATCGTCTTCAGACAAAACTGTCTTACTGCTATGAGCAGAAACTTAAGCAACCTCCCTGAGTCTTGTATTTATTCTCTATGTCTATTGGTCTGAAAGTTTGCTTCTTGCCATTCTTGAAACATTTCCAGACGGCGGTTATATGCAATTTGCCTCTGCAGAGATCCTTATTCATAGCTTGGTCACCTCCCAAGTCACAGAGTTCCCCTCTCTGCTGGATGTTGAAGATGCAATTACAAGGCTGAGCTTAGCTAACTAGTTGGCAGTCCAGCCTTTTCCCTGCACGTTGGTGAGCCTCTAGCACACCCATCCCACTGTACCACTCTATGAGCATGAGGTCCCTGAGTTCCCTTTGAAGAGCAAATTATTTTAGGCTTGCAAGCTGGTGCTGCTTTCCTGCAGTGAGTTCACTGAAAACGCTGCAGGAGAAGGAGCCGGCGTGCAGAGCTGACACACAGCCCATGCAGCAGAAAGCTGTGTTAGAGTCCAGGAGTCCCATCTACACCCCAGCTTGTGAACAGGGTTCAGAAATCAGTTGAAGACACACGATTTTCCATAGGGGTTCAGCTACCATCTGCCGACTGTCCAGGCATCTTTCCTGAGACTGTAAGTGGGCACCTCAAATGGTGGTCCGTCTCTGAGAGACCTGAGCCATGTGCTAAGTGTGTTGAATGTGCAAGATTGATGAATCCAGGTAGCAGCAAGTGCAGACGATGCCCAGGATCAGCCAACAGTAACTGTCAGCCTCGCTAAACATGTCCATTCCAATAGCAAATCAACACCTTACACCAGAGAGTACCAGTCTACTGAAGGCTGAATCTTGTATGAAGATGTCAGGTGGATTCTCTGGAAAGCAGTTTCTAATAAACCCATTTAGAAACAGAGGCTTTTCCCAAAGGGAAGTGGGGGATTATTGCAGGAGAAGTGCAGAAGTCTCCCATTACATGGCCAGAAGGGAGGGGGATATCTGTACTGGCTCTTCCCCTCTTCTCCTCCACCATGGTTTTCAGAAAGCTGGTGGTAAACATAGAGTTAAACTTCATCTTTAAAAAAAAAAAAGATAAAATAGAAAAGCCCTAGACATTTGGCAGCATCTGAAATGCTGGGTCAGCAGGGGCGGAGAGCGGCAAACCTCATTGGTCCATGCTGACAGTAATCAGTAACCTTTTGTAATTAGTAATTCACAGCAAATGAGAGCAGCCTTGGGGGCTCACACCTTCCATCTGCTGCCACTCACGGACTAGCCCAGGTTTGAGGGGGAATAGGGATTTTCAAGAGTACCCCACATCCTCCCTGTCAAGGGATGGTCTTTTTCCTCCGGTCATAGTTCTGCAGAACTTGTCCTCTTCTGCACATCCCTGTGGAGTTGCCAGCGCTGTGCCCTGCGTTACTCCCCTGGGACCCCAGAGCAGCAGCCATAGGTGCTGGTGTCACGGTGTCCCTGGAGCACATCCCATACCGCTCACGCCTGGCCGGCCCTGCCCGCTCCAGGCTGCAGTTCTTAGTGCCTTTCTGAGGCTCTGTCCTCAAACCAGGACAGTTGATGAACATTTAATTAGATGTCTGCAATCTCCTGTTAAACCCATCTTTCTTGGTCGTGGTCCACGTGAGTGGCCTTGTGCAGGTTTCTGTAGCTGAGGAAAGCTCCCTTCGTTCAACAGCAGTCAGATCAGATGCCGATAAGACCTAAGCGTGGTGGCAGGGGGGCCGGGTGTGTGTGTGGGCAGCAGGCAGGTAACTGAGGCTGCCACCTCCATCCACCAGGGAGGAGGTCCTCACTGCAATACTGCATCTTTCAGAAATGCTCCTACTGCTCCTCTTTGCCGTGACAGGAGGAGGAACCTGCCTCAACAGTGAGAGGGTTTTCCCCTTCCATGAGAGGGTGTTTTTCACTGTTTTTTGGACTTTGTTTCCTATGTTGCCTTGTTCAGTATTCTACAAGGGGCAGCTCATTAATCCCAAATGCAGGCGTCACATGGCGGAGGCCAGGCGTGAAGTAGAATAAGGGACAACATCCAACTCCTCCTGCAGAAATCACATCTTTGCATCTAGCATCTAAACAGGCAAGTACAGAGCACATCAAAGCTAGCCAACCCCTTCTGCATCCCCCATAAAAGCTTAGTACCGCAGAAGTTAATGTTTTTTACAGCTTCTGTTTTCCCACAAAATGGGTCATCCATCTATTTCCATTTATATATTTTCATGGAGGCAAGGGGAGGAGGCAGAGAGAGTTGCATCTGCTCTTACAGGGGAGGAGGCAGAGGGGATTGCATTTGCTCTTACAGGGAGAACTGGAATTACTGTATAACCCTGAAATAAAGAGTGGTTTTGAGAAGACCACGTGATGTGATGAGTACAGAGGAAAGGTGGAGGAAGTGGAGGAAATCCTAGCTACTTGTTCACATAAAGGAGTTTTATGAATCAGGACATCTGTAACTTGTGAAGGACACGGCTCAGTAAAATACCTCTAGTAGTTCTGCAGTTAGCTCCCCTTATATTGCCAAGCAGAAAGTCTTGGAAAAAGAGATGTCCAATTGAGAGTGAACTGAGTTTTTTGTACAGAGACCTCCTCTGTGTTCTACAGACAGCAAACCCACCTCACTCTTGTAAATCTGTCACTTCCCTCGTCACCCCCTTTCTGTGCGGTGCTGTGTTAAGAAGGGCCTCAGGGTCTCTGAAGCTGCATTGCTTTTTGTAGGTGAAACGTGAAACATCGGCAGTATCCCATGGGCAGATCCTGTTTGTAATTTCAGATTGTACTTTCCTCCCTCTCCTCATAAGCGAAGTCCTTGAAGCCCCTTTTTGTCATCTCGACATCACTTCTTTTTTTTAGTAACAAACACTCCTGACCTTTTTCTTCATTTTTTTTTTTCCTCACGTTGCAGACACACACTCTGAGTCGCAGTTCCAGATTTACTGTGCTCAAGGCAGGTGAAAGGGGGTGCCCTAATCCTCAGTTTTGGTTTGAGATACTAATGGCCATAGCAGATGGATCGTTCATGCCATGACATTTTGCTGGGCTATTGCAATAGCATGTGACCTCTTTCATGGAGCCGAGCTAAAGAGATGTTGTTGTCTTTCCTGCTTCCTTCTTACCCTCTCTAATGCCCATTTCTCGGAGTTGTTTAAAAACTGTTTTCTCTGTCACGCATTAGCTATCCCACTTTGCTTAAAGGTCAGTGATAAAGGTTTGTTCCTACCTTTTGCTATGATCAGGAAACTTTTCTTACAGTAGTAATTTCTTAATGTCTAAGTATTTCTTCCAAAATAGTATTTCAATGGCTACTTATACTGCCCGGGTAAAAAATTGCTTAATAAAATTTTTTGTTTGTTTGTTTACCCTCAGCATAGGTGATAAAGACAAGGAGTTTTCAGAGCAAACCTCTCACTTTCAAGGAAAAACATTTTCCTGCTGTCTTCTGGCAGGAGCCAGAATTAGTTGCCTGCCACTTTAAGCCTCGGACTAGGTAAAATAAGTAGAAAATTCAAAGAAGTTGAGAGAAATCTGGCAATGGCAGGAAGATGAGCTGGGTCATATGGTAGTTTTTTTGCCATCTCTATTGTATCTAATACTTGGGGTTCATCCGAACTGAAGCTGTGTAAATAGCTGATTGTTTCCATTTGCTTGCATTGCCAAAAAAAAAAAAAGGGGGGGGGGATAGATGGAAAATAGTTTAGATGAAGCAAAATGTTGGTTATTTGAGTCAAATTAAAATATTTTAGGTTAAAAACCAAATGAGTAAAATCAATTTAACTTTTTTTGTTTTAGAAGCAACATTTCAATTTTGCTATATAAAAGACTTGTTTTGAAGATGGTTCAGTGAAATGTTCTGGGAACGTTTACCAAAACATTTAAGCAAATTTAGCATGAATCCGTGAAATGCTTCCATCATTGAATCTGCGTAGTTCTTAATTATTTTTCTTCTGAAAAAGTTGCCTCCAAAAATTCTTTCCCAACTCATGCCTTAACCATTCACAATTTCATTATCCCCTGCGTGTTACTGAAGTAGTTAGAATTGTTTCAACTCTCTGATAACAAGTGGGTGGTTTTTGCTTGAGTAGAAGTAGACTTCCTCTGTCATCTCTTTGTAGATTTTGGCTCTGTAGCAGGAGTCCATATGTCTTCCATGTGGACTATGTTTAAACATATAGCTCTCTGCTCTTGTACGGCTTGTTCCCTTACTAGGAAGCCAAGTTTAGAGGCATCTGCATTGCATGGGACAGAGTTCCTCTAACAGTTATTTCTGTTGGGTCTTGTTAGTGTACCAAGTCTTTATAATCATTCCTTCTTGAATTCCCAAGTAGAATTTTCCTTTCTCTGCCCCATCATTGACTCATCCTTTGTTTAAGAAGATCACCAAATAAATGAGGTTGGAAGGTACATCAGGAGGTCATCTGGTCCAACAGCCTGCTCACAGCAGGGCTGAGGCAATGCAAGATAGCCCACCGCTCCTAAGAAAACCTTCAGGGATACTTATTTTCTACCCAGGGAGTCAGAATTTTATGATGGTCTCAAGAGGGGAAAGGAGGATAGCTTGGTTAGGCAATATTGTCAGTGACAGTGTGCTCAAAGATGGGAACTGCATCGCAATGAACACCAGCCTATCCCTCCTGGAGAATCTCAGCCTAGATATTGGCACTGAGATGGTACTAAAACATTACTAGAAGTTACTCTTGTTTTCTTGTGGAAGAGGATTGATCTTTGATGCCAGCACTAGGATACGCTCACAGCAACCCTGGGTATAGTTTTCTTTTCTATAGAGCCTTATGAGAGAAAAGGTCCATTCATCAAAACTCAACTTCAGCTGAATTTTAACACTTCACCACCTTCACAGTTGTGTTAGCCAGAGGAACGTAGTCTCTCTTCTTGCAGCTTCTATGGAAACACAACGCTTGGGAATTCATATTTTTCTCTCTCCTACAATTTCATTACTCACTTTAGAACCAATGTTGGGAAACACATACTTTGTTCAGGCTTGTTGTTACATTTAATATGATTTACAGTTTGCCAGCCGTTCAGTTTTGAATGAAGCTAGTGATGAGACTTTTGCTATACAATGCACCGTCTAGTGTCTACCTGGGTGTTTTGGCCATTGCTGTTGCCTATTTTAACTCTCTGGTGATGTGTATCCAGGGTGATCAGGGAGGAGCAGGTGTTCCAGGAGATATCGGCTTCCAAGGAGACAAGGTAATTGTTTTTCTTTTCTCCATCATTTTTTTTTTCCCTTACATAGTAATATGTGTGACCACCAGCTTTCCCAGCTCATCTTAAGCCATGAGAAGCTAGAACCAGCTCCATCCATGTCAGGTTCCCCTGCTCAGATTGTTCTCATTTGGAGTACGCTGAGCCTTTCTAAAATTCATGTCAATATATGGATTTTGTTGTTACTCATAATAAAAGCAGTTCTACTGGGGGCTTTCTATAAACGGGGCCATATCTTCATGCAGAAATTGGAAACGGTGGGATGGGAGTGATGGGGATGGGTGTGAATGTGTGTGGTCCGGTCGCTGCAGACTCAGAGGTTTTGTCTGCTCGGTGCAGTAACTTAAACCCTGACCCAGCGAAGCACTTAACGCCGTGCATAACTTCTAAGCAAATGACTTCTCCCCTGTGACTACAATATGATACTGACTTCAGCTGACTAATGCTGTACTTAGCGCTGCACTGGGGCCTACATGGCGCTGAGCCATGACCGACTGCAACAGCTCATGTGCTCTTCAGGGCTAAATTCAGCCCGGGTTTTATCAGAAACATCTCACTGACAGTAGTGCAACTGCCCCATCTCCTCGCAGCCTGGGTTTAGCCTTTAGAAATTCCTTCTCTCTCCACTGCAGAAACTGGAGCTGGAGCCTGGGGGATTCATGTTTTTTGGTGCTTCATTGTGTTTTCTGAAAAAATCTGTCTCTCTCTCTCTCAGGGCAGCCAGGGTTTGCCTGGGGTCCCTGGGGCACGAGGGAAAGCAGGACCCCTGGTAAGTAACCAAGTGTCCTCTGCTTCTTCGTCTCCCTCTCTGAAGGCTCCATGCCCAGCTGGAAGGACAGCTCGGCAGGGCTGTGCTGTTCGAAACGGGAAAGCCAATAGCCAGGAGCCAGCTCACTTTTCTCCATGTTTTTCTGATTTCTTCAGGGAAAAGTCGGTGACAAAGGTCCAGTCGGGTTTCCAGGACCACCCGGCCCTGAGGTATGTCCCACCACCTCCTTCTCACGTCTTTCCTTTCTTTGGTAACTTCTGCAGCATCCATTCTCCAGCAAACCCACACGATAACACTTCTCTCCCGTCTCATTTTGCCTCTGCAGCAGTAATTATTCGATGTCTGCAGCTTGCCGCCCCACTGAGGATCGGCTCTCTGATCAACGCCCTTGTGGCACTGGAGAGGCTGTTAGAGATGCCTGTCTCCTCTTCCCACTGGAGGTTTTGAGCTCTCGAACCATGCACAGACAGGCCCACATCGGGTTTCGATTAGGAGGCATATGCATATATAGCTGTTGCTAATTCCTACAGAAAGCGAGAGCCAAACGCTGCCTCCCACGTGGGTGCCCGGCCCGGCCGAGGGAGGGGATGGCTGCCACTGCTACTGCTCACCACGACACCTGAGCTCTGATACGTTTACCAACCCAAATCTGGCGTGTTCTGAGGTCAGAGCCTTTGCTAACGGTGGACAGATGGATTGCTTTAGGACAATGGCACACCAGGGCGCCAGAAATGCCAAGGCCAAAAGAGCTTTGCTGTGTTGTAGGATTTACTGCTATTTAATGAATTGAGGCCCAGTTTTGTTCAAAGTGGGAGACAGGGCAAGCTGTCCATCTTGTACCCTCTGACCACCCTGCACTGAGATTTCCTGATCTCCAACTACCATTCCAAGCCTTTTTCTTCCCAATCTTCCCAGGCAAGTCCTATATGTAACGGCTTGTTCTGTTCTTGTTCGGAAAGGTCAGTCCCCAAAGATTGTCTCTAACCTGGCAAGAGCCCCATATTGTCTCCCAGCCACTGGCCAGGCTCTGTGGACGCTGGTCTTTCTACTCACCATGTTGCTCTCTGGCCCTTGACATTGTTCTTTAACTGCTTTTATGGGGCAGAACACTCATTTCTTGAACCTTGCATCTCACTTTTCGCCTACCTTCCTCTTTTCAGTGTAGGGCTTCACTTCTCTGCTAGAGTACGATGGTACATGAGTGGTGATGAGGTAAAGAGGATCAAGATGGGTTATGACCCATTCTGCATCTCATGGTTTCCTGCTTTTTCCTTCCACTTTTTCTCATAGGTATCATGGAGAGTTTTTTCAAGTTTTCCCCCATAAAATACCATTTCTAGTAGAAAAAGACCTTTACTGCCCTTACCAAGAAAATTGTCACAGCGATACCTTAAACACAGGATCAGCTTCCCCCAGCATATTGTCACTTTCTCCTTCATAAGCAACCAGACGACGTCTGTAAGATGCTAGAGAGCTGCTTCCAGCACAACTGATGGTCTGTTTTCCCCTCATCAGTGTTCTGGTATTTTGCTGGGTCTGGAAGGGCTCTCGGTCGAGTGCTGCCACTTAGCAATCGTTCCTCTGTGTTGCTATTGGAAATAACCACAGATTCCTTTGTTTCCTCAGCGAAGGGCTGGTGGGTGGAAAGGAGTCGCTGCCTGGCTGAAGGCAGCAGCTAATGAGCGTGTCAGCACCTTTCCTAATTCTTCGCCTGCTTCCCTTTGTCGCTGAGGCGTGCAGTTCGTTTCTCGGAGCAGTGAGATTATGCGCTGACTCATAAAGATTAATTAAAACCCAAATTGCCATTTTTAGCTGTGTGATGACAGGGAGGCCCTCACAGCAATAAATCTCCCTAAGATGGACCTAAAGGGAGCTGCTGGGAAAGGCTGCTCTTGAATCAAACTGATAGTGCTGCTCCCGTTGTCTTGTTTCATTCCCTCTAGAAGCCGCGCGGTGGCCCACACACGGACACTGCCAGCACCTAACAAATATCTTGGCCCTTAGCCTTTGATTAAAACTCTCACAGAGGCTGTCTTCTGAAGCTGGCTGCAAAAGTCCACCTACGCACCCTGACTATTTCTCGTTTTCTTCAGGGCTTCCCAGGTGACATTGGCCCACCAGGAGAAAATGGTCCTGAAGGCCTGAAGGTGAGTGGAGCAGAGATTGAAGCTCTGTCTGGGGTGGGAAGCAGCCAGGGAAAACAAAGTAGTGGGAAGGGGGGAGAGAGAAAACCCTGGAGATTCCTAAAGATTGTCCTGGCCAGCGATTCAGCTTGGTCTGTTTGGCTTGAGGTCCCTCCAAGTGCAAGGTTTCCTTTTTTCTTTTTTTTTTTTCTGTAACAAAATTGACATTGGATGATGTCCCATGGCTGTGAAAGAGACTTTCTCATTTTAATTGCCCTTCTGAGCTTATGTTTCTATTTTCTGAGTATCTTTTCCTTTGGCTCTTTCTCAGGGAAAGCCAGGAGCACGAGGCTTACCTGGGCCGAGGGGGCTGCTTGGACAAGAGGTGAGTGTCTTCAGACCAAAAGCAGATTGAATTTAAAGAATAATGTTGAATTTTGAAGATTAACGCATGCTGAAGTGGTGCCTGTGACTTGAAATCCTCCGGTTCCTCTGATCTGGAAGCAGACGCTAATATTCAGTGATCAGAGACCTGCAGAAAAGGAGCTTCCCGTACGTTGCAGTCTTGTGATCATCACTTCCAGTCGCTGCTGGCATCTGCTGACCCTAAACTCTGCATTGGCTTTCCTTTTAAAGTCTTCCCCCACACCCACACACACCCAGAATGGGAGTTAATGCCCTTTTCCCTGCACATCCCCTTGCACAGGCATGCCCTGGCCTGGCTTTTGCTTTCTGCTCCTTTTAAGTGTGTTTTCTTTCAACTGTGAGACCCGCAGACTCCGCTGTCTCACACAGAGCAATATTCTTTTGTGAAAAGAGTACATAAATTGAAATTGCTGTTGTGCAAAGATTCATTTGCCCCAACATCTCAGAGCTTGCAGCTTTCGCCTATCACTTCATGTGAAAACTTGAAGCTTCGTTCCACTAGTAGTCACTAAAAAGGGACAATTCTCATTGATTTAATTGTCCTGGAGCTGCAAATGCTTTATAGGATCAACAGAGAAGGCCTGAGTGCCCTCTGGTTACCCTGTTGTAACTTCAGTGACTTCAGTGTAGTTTCTTCTCATTTAGGCCAGTGTAAGCCGTTTGTCCCGAGTCATGAGACATTGTGCAAATAATACTCGGTGCACGCACGGGCAGGAGCTTGGTCTAATAGCACTAATAATTCTTAACTTTTTCTGGGAATTCTTTTGCTTGCTCTCTAAATGGGATTAATGCAAATTAGCTCATTTATTTGCACTGAAATAGGAAAAAAAAAAGGGAATCGAAGCCCTGCATTCCAGGTTCAAGCAGGCATGACCAAGCTGCCTTCAATTTACTCTAGTTAGTGAGTGGAAAAGTAAGACTGAAGACATGGACATGGACTTTGACATAAGCTGTGCTGAAGGACTTTGAATGTGCACCAGACCACACCACAATGCCTTTACCGCTGTCGTTACCTGAGGTGGTAGGTCAAGGCTGTGGATTACATCTTCTTTAGAAGTGCGGCATGTTGTGGGTGGTTTATCTGAGCCCATTGAGCCGGGTTCCTGATTTCCCATCCCATCTTCAGCCCGCCAGCTCGTGCCACTTCATTACCACGGCTGACCACCTAAATGAGAACAGCAAGAACTGTGGCTGCCAAGGGCGCTTTTAATTTCTCTTGGCAGTTGGTTTTAGACACTTGAGATAATTTTTGTGAAGCTTAATTGAAGGTCTCCTAGAAACTGTAGGTCTGATCCTATCACATTAGAAATTGGTTTAGAGCCAAGGGAGAGGACCGAGTCCAATTGCTGCGTGAGATTTTGAGATAGCTCCATCCTGCAGCATGTGTAGTCCCATTTGTAAGCAAAAGGGAAACCTTCATACGGTTGCCAAATGGTTCTGTGGGAAATTTTGCAACACCCTTTTTGTGGGGGGAAAAAAAAAAAAAAGAAAGAAAAAGAGTAGAGAGCTCTACAGCATTCGTGTCCCTGCTAATTCAAATGAACCAGAGTCGTGTGAGCACGTCCAGGGTATCCTATGGGCCAAATCCAGCCCATGATAGGCCCAATCAAGGGATATTGACTTCGGTCAAATTTTGGGTGGCCTTTACCAGCAGGACTTGACTTTAGATTATATTCCTGATATGGGGAAAGGAGATGAGAACCCTCAGGGATGCTGACCTGCCTACTCTAAGATTCAGGAGGGCTCAAGTTGTTAAAATGTGAGAGCTGAGCACACAGCCTGTGTTTAACCGCTGCTCATACTGCAGACCTTTCATTCTTGCTGCTTGGTGAGTCCAAATGTTGTCACTCCTTTGCCTTTTATTTTAATTTCTTTTCACCTCAGGGAGATGAAGGACCCTTAGGACCACCAGGAGTCCCTGGTCCAGAGGTAGGTTTCAGACATTTACTCAGTTACTACCAGCTCTGTTGACCTTGCAATGGAATTCTAGTTAACAAAAAGCTTCAAACCTCCTGGTTTGGGGAGTGATCTGCCCTTCTAAGAAATATTGTCTTCTCCAGTGCTTGGTCCAACTGCTTGATCCAGGATGGCTGAAAGACAAGGAAGTGTCTTGCACAGGGTGTTGAGTGGGACTCTAATTTTATAACTGGCTTAAAGTCTCAGATGTCGAAAAACCCTCTAATGTTTAAATAGTTCATCCTCAAGACAAAGCACGCTGACTGGAAACCATCTTTTGTAACCAGCCCTGATGTTTCTTCCTTGATTTATAGTATTTTTCAATGAGTAGAGGGAAAAGTAAGAAAAAAGACCAGACAGTGTCAGTCCTTTTTGCCCTCTACATCAGTCTGAACACAGTGATGTATCACAGAAACATAGTTAGAAGAAGCAAAAAGAATATTATCATACCTGTGGGCTTGTCAGCTCAGGATTTTGTAATGATTATGTACGTAATTGTCATTGTAGGATAGCAAAATATCTTGAAAATTGGAGACTGTGCTGGAGCTTCTAGATGGATCAGAAAATAAATGTTTTATCTTGCATTTCCTCCACTGTTCTGGCATACACTTTTATTCCTTTCTGGAGCAACATCATAAATCCAGTTTCTGCAGCGCCTGGGACAGCACCATAGGTGTTCTTCTAGCCAAAGGGAAGGCTCAAGATGAACCTTTTCATCTGCACGTTTATTTCTGCTTTTCTGAGCTGTAGCTGTGAATGTCAGCCTGGCTTCCCCCACTGTAGGGACAGTCCTACTCCCAAATCCTCTCTGGGTGCCAGGGATGGAGCCCATAAGAAGCTTATATGTCCGAGTCCCTGCCAACGCTAGGGAAGTACCATCTCTGAATGCTCAGGCTGCTGGTCTTTGCTAGCATTGCTACAAGAAAACTGCTGGAAGTAGAATAAATTCAGCTGAATGCGGTGCATAATATACTAAAGGGCAGCAACAAAGCCCTTGGCTTGGTTGATTATAGTCCATGCATTATGTTTCCGATGTGATGTTTGAGTAATGGAATTGAGCTGGAGGGTCAGAAATGGGCTGAAACTTGGAGTAGCTGTCTAGGCATGTTCCCCATGGATCAAACCCGGTGTCTCTTGAGTCAGAGAGCTTTCCTCTTGTGTCGCCTTGGCCTCAGTAAGGGCTGCTATATCTCTAGCACTCTGGATTCACAGGGAGCATTGCTTGTCACCTGCACCATATAGGTTCACAGACACACCGTTGTGACCGAGGCTGTAACCGTTTTATGTTTATTGTTCTTCCATGTATTTCAGGGTCGATCTGGCCGGAAGGGATTTCCAGGAAGACCTGGTCCTGATGGTCCAAAGGTGAGGAAGGTGTTTGTTCATGATCAGAGAAGCAGTGGGTAGAAGGGAGGAAAGGAAGAGGGAAGTATCTTTTCTCAACTTTAACATGCTCCAAGCCTAGGTTATTCATTCCAGAGAGGACAAGGGGAACTGAGGATTTCTCTTTTTCTCTGAATTTTGGGGTCTCTGCTTCTGCTTGGTTTCTTCAGCAAAAAGAAGGACAGTGCATTTTTTAAGCCATGTGCTTTATTATAAACAAGTGTGTTCCTCTTTTGATATTAACCAACCCCCCTCCATCATCTCATCTTATTTTCCATTGCTTCTCCACGTTTTTGTTCTAAAACAATGCACATCATTCCTATCTTTGCTGCCTAATTAGCAGCAGGAGCCATCCCAGGGCAGTTCGCTCCGCAAACCCACACTCAAAAGGAAAGAGAAAACCCAACAAAAACAACCTCTTCAAACAGTAAATACCAAAAATGTGGTCTGGCAGCACATCTGGAGTATCTGCCTACTGAGCAAATACAGCTGCCTTCACCCGGAGACAATACTGGTTAGCGGTGAGTCTGGCCGCTGGATGGCCTGTCCAGGGGCCTTTGAGTGCTGCCACAGCTGCCCTTATCCCTGGTGGGTTTAAAATTCTCCTCCTTGTCCTGCTTTTCTCTTCACCCCTCATTTTTCTCATTCTCTGAATTTCCCTCATCCTGCACTGTGATTTAGCTCATGTGGGTTCTTTCCGTGGTTTTCATGTGGATGCTCCACGTGACAGTAACGTGCCTATGCTTGAGATTTTGCAAGAGCAGAATCAGGGCGCAGCATTGCCTGGGAATATTTGGGTTGTCTTTTGTTCTTGTGACACTTCCACCAGCAGGTGAATTTTCTGGATCCCTTCTCTTCTGTCATTCAGGAACTACACCTTCCCATGGTATCCGCACTCTTTTGCACTCCCTAGATGCTCCTCAAATCCTTTGGTTAATCATGGTCCTTTCCTACCTCTTCCTGCTAATGATGTGTTTCTGTCTTCATCTGTCTGTTTTACTTAGTCTTTCAGATTGAAATGTTATGGGTCAGAAACATCCCAACTTCAGGAACATCCCTGATGAGAACTCATGCCTTATTAAACATGTTTGTGTCAGCTGTGTTTCTTGCTTTGGTATCTTTCAAGTCACGGTTGGTTTTGTAAGATGTTGTCTCCTGCAGATTCTCCACGATTCTTACACAGCAGCCCAAATCACGGGTGTAGGAGGAATCATGTTGTACTGAGGGTCTGACTGGGAGCACCAAGTAACCTGTGTGCCTTGTCTCTCCTTGTCCTGCAGGGTGAGCCAGGAAACCGCGGCCGGCCGGGGAAAGTTGGTGAGCAGGTAAACTCTTTGTTTTCCTTGTCTGTTTGATGATCTCCTGTGTACAATGTCTCCTGGATGACCAGGGTGCAGGCAGAGGACAGTGGCCAGGGGCTTCTGGCCACCTCAAACCTGTCCATAGTCCTGGTGCTCCAACTGGGGTGCTCTTCAGTCTGAAGCTGAAGCTCTTGGTGAACAGCACTGACAGTGACCATGGTGTCTATTTTCAACTGGAGGTTTTTCCGTAGGCAGAGTGCTCTGATAAACTCGCAGTTCAGGTGGATGTGCTGTCAGTACTGGCAGCAGAACAGCACATGTGACTGCTGTGCTTCTCAAGGAGGCAAAGCCATGGTCAGGAAAGAGATTATGGATTTCTGCGTATCCCCCTTATCCCTAAAGGGCAATTTCCAGGCTTTGCCTATGTAGGTTTTAAGGGTAGGGTCCTCTGCTTTGGGTGCTGTGCTGCTTTAACTCCCACTGGATTTTCTGGGGAGCAGAGACAGCAGCTGAAGAAAGCAGGCCCTGGGGGAGAGAGGCACTGAGCTGTGTTTCACTGTACCACAAGAGAGAACGTTCTGCTGGGGTAGCAGGGGACATGCATCATCCCTGTATGCTTCAGGGGAACCACAGTCATCAAGGAAAAAGAAACAGTTGTTCCCAAGGCTCTGTGATTGAAACCAACCAACTTGTCCACCACCAACCCTGAAATTGCAGCCACGGAGCCTCCAACACGTTCAGCGTGTTCGTACATGACCACATCAGGCTGGCTGCAGCAGCTGGCCCTGGCAAAGAGGGTGTTGCTTCTCAGCACAACTGTCCTTCCCAGCACTTTCCCTGCCGGACGGTCAGCAGCTTCGGTTTGGTTTAGCTTGTCAGCCTCTCTGGCTCTTCTTTCCCCTGTATGCAACAGCTGAGCGCCGCTTCTTCCATGGGTTTCTGACCAAGCAAGTAGCAAGTCCAAAAAAACAAGGTGGATCCTTTTCAATACCAGCAGTCTGGTGAGTCTCAGTGTATATCAAGGATAGTTATTTCTATTTGGAAATTAGAGCCATTTCTATGTTGTGGTTAATAATTTACTTCATAAAGAGCAACAACTGAAGAAGCAAAGTTGTTCCACACATTTGAGTTCTAGTTGTAGCTTTATCAGATTCTGCACAATCTCAGGCAACACCTCCAGTGCCCTGTGCCTCAGTTTCCCCTTCTGTGGAAGGCGTGAGACAGCTCTGAACAGTGCTTAGCACAATGCTTCCTGTTCCTAGGTGGCACTTACAGATACTGTTGTATTACAGTTAAAAATTAATATTTATAAGTACTTTGAGATCCATAACAAGATGTTGTCCTTGAAGGACAAAGCATCATTAGAATTATTATTCTTGAGTGTCCCTCAGGACTGACCTTGGATGAAAACTGTAGGCACTGTTCAACAAAAAGAAAACACAGCTGGCCTCCACTGACACTGAAACCAGCACAGTGGTATGAAAGCTGCCGGTATTACTCTTAGTCAATTAGTCTCTGTCTAGAAATATCACCAAGAAAGAATTTCCATTTCCGTACCAGTCAAGTCCTTATAACAAAAATGTCGCACCAAATTAGTGAGAAATAACCTCCTTTCCCATCACACCTTCGCTGAACGATGCTGGAGTGTTGGGTTTTCGTTCCTCCCTCCACCCTAAGCTTCAGCATTTGGTGTTGGGGCTGGGTTGGTTTTTTGCAGAGCTCTGAGGGGTCAGGCTGCCAAGGTCACTTGGCACTAAAAGCCACCTTCACCTCAACCCTGTTTTCTCTTGTGGAGGCCTTGATGTTTTCTATTCCATGGGCACAAATAGGAATGGTGAAACTTTTCAAACTTGCTGCTCTGCCCTCCGTACAGGTTCCCTCTGAGTGGAAACCTCAGTGTAACAGCAGGCGAAAAGATCAGCCATCCATCTCATTGGGGCTCTCTTCCCTTTCTTAGGGACATCTGTTTAGGCAAACATGGGCATTTCTGTAAGGTTTCCAATGACCCTTGAGGTCTCATTGGAAAAAATAGATTTTAAGCCACAGGGCAGTCCCTGATGTGTTGTTTTTTCATTGCAAGGACCCTGACTCGGGAAGTTCATTCATAAGATGCTTGTTGTCTTCATGTGCTGGAAGGACTCCAGCTGCTGGGCTCCCCAGTACCCTGGAAATGTGTGATTTAACCCTTCCTTGCCAGTAGATGGAGGCAGAAGAATATGAAGAAGAATACAGGGCCTCTGGCCCAGGCCACCAACCTTCCTGATGCAGAGCTGGGAATGCAGAGCAGGAGGGTGTCACCGAAATGTCCATGTTGAAGGTCAGACAGCCCTGCAGGAGAAGCAGCACCCTACAGCAGACAGGATAGCAAACTGGGGAAGGGTACTGCAAGCCCATGGACCCCCCGTGCTTTGCACTAGAGACTGAAAATAACCGTGAAACGTTGTGCCATCTGAAAGAAGCTGAGGTTGACCTACGTCCTTAATGGGAAAGAGGAGGTGCTGTCATGGTAGGAACGGCTTTCTGAATCCCTCCTTCTGTACAAGAAGTGACAGCCCTGCTCACTGGCATGGTGACGTTAGGGTCAGCCACGCACCCGTCGCACCATGCTGGGAAGGGCAGTCACTCCACAGCCCCTTGTGGGGATCTCTTCCCTCGAGGGAGAAGCGTGTTGTACCAATATCAGACATTATTCTAAATTAATTTGTCAAAGGAAACCGGTGCCGTCGGTTATCTCCCTAATGTGTTTTCCTTGCGGTGCTCGGGGATGTGCTGTAATGCCAGTTTTGCAGGTGAGGTCTGACTTGGGTAGATACGGATTGACTTGACCAAGGTCAGATGGGCCGCTGAGAAGCGACCAGGGAGTTGCACTGGTGTTTCCCACGTCTTAGAGCAGTGCCTATCCCAATGCATTTACCTTCCTTCCCCTCCAAAGCATCTCTGTCTGAGCTGCAGACCTCTCATTCAGGGATCTGAGGGCGCTGCAGTGTATGCAGCCTCTTTGATCTGACAGGGTGTCTTGCCAGCGTGTCTCCACCTTTCCTTCCCTGGCTCCCCAGAGGGCAGTGGGATCCCAAGGCGGCCCCAGGCTACGGCTGAGCTCCGGTGCACAGGGGGTTAAACCGCATGGCTTTTCTTTGCGGGTCAGAGCGTCCTCCCTTAAACTGTGATATTTACTGTTTTACTTTCCCTTTCTTTCATCTGAATGGGAGGATTGTACATTTACTCCCTCCCGTCCTTTGTCCCTGGTTTGTTTTGTTTTGAGTTCTAGCGAACCAGTAAAACAGAAAGGCCATGATCGGTTCCTGCTGGGAGCGACTGGCGGTCCCGTCCCTGGGAGACCCTGCTCACGCTGGGCTCGCCTTTCGGTTGTTTCTCTCAAATGGGCTATGATTTATGCAAGGCTTCATTGCTGACTTGCTCTCTGTTGATGCAGCCAAGAGGGGGGGCTTAATTATGACAGGGCTGGACAATAAATGGGGAAAGCCAGACAGGAGTTAGGAATTACAACCCGCCAGTCCCCCCCCCTTCCCTCCCCCCCCGCCCCCAGCAACTTTTTAACAATCTCCATCCCTTTTCCGCCATGCCCTTGGCTGGGGAATACAGCAGACTGAATCATGAGCGACATGCTGAACTCCCCGTCTAATATAAATGTTTTACATTCTTTCCTGTATACTGTGGGCCTTTATCCGGGCAGCCACCGCTGCTGGGACTTCACGTGCATCATTACACACACTGCCTGGAGTCGTGTTTGATGCAGGGCTTCTTTTCAACCCTGGGAACCTGGGAAAAATATGTTATACTGCAGCCATTTTAGTGTAATGGCCACAATTCACGTCTGCTTTGATTTAATATTTACCACCGGTGGCTCTTCTGATTCATAAAACCTAAATCTTTTGCTGCTTGTGTTCCCTTTAGTGTCTATCCCATTTTGGCCAGTGAAGAATATTGTTACCCAGTCTCCCCCAGTTGTTTCGTATACTCCCAATAATTTAGCAAGATTTATTTTGCCTAGACATATCTATCTCGATTTGTGTCTGCTTGCAGACACAGCAACGTTACTTAACTTAGCCCAGAGCTGACAGTGTTGGCTGCAAACGCCACGGAGCTGCTGTGCTGGAAGCGTGGCCACCTCACGGGGTGCCTGCTCTGCTGTCTCACTTCGGTCCCTACTCTATTATGGTCACACCATGGGATGCTCCTCTTGCTGGGTACGCAGGGAGCAGTGACATCTTCCTTTGAGCAGAAACATGATGTACCAGTGCAGACAGAATTTCCCCTGGTTACGGAGTGAAAATTTTGGCTGCGTTCCCCTTCCATCCTGCCATTTACCTGTGCAGCAAGTGCGGTGTTTGCCTCTACCGCACTTGCGTTGGCGGTGCCGGCAGGTTTCTGCACAAGCTGCGATAACAAACGGTGCATCGGTGACAGCGAGAGGGGTCTCAGGAGGGCGTTGGGTTTGGGGGCCGTTTGGCACGCTGCGATCGGTGCTCTGCAAACCATCTGTAGAGCACCAGAGGGTTGGCTGGGCAGCACAACCAGTATATCTCACGTCATCACCCAGATTCCTTAGAGACTTTTGGGAGTGGGAGCCGATGCTGCTGTGGACGACGTGTCGGAAGTATTAGCCTTTGAGCCCAAGTTTGGATATGCAATGTGCCTCAGAAGTGTGTTTGAAACAGCCTTGCTCTGAATGGTGACAACGTTTGCTGCAAGAGCAGGGATCTCTCTTCTGCAGGGACTGACCTACGCAACCCAGAAATATCTTAAAGAGAGCATCTTCCCAGGGAGAGAGAGAGAGTTCTGCAGTTTTTCTGAGAAATTGGGAATGAAGGAACAGATTTACTCTTTCTTGTTTATTATCTTATTTTTGCCTAGCAATGCATTTCCTTGCTTCATCTCATTGCTTTGCCACTCTCTCCTCTGCCTTGACATTTGCCTTCGCCGTGGCCTTGGGCTGCTGGAAAACTTGTAACTGGATACAGTTGTCAGCTATGTATCTGCACTTGTGTCTAATTGAAAGGATAATTGATTCAGCAGCCTTCAGCAATGCCACCCAGTGGCAATGCTGCATATGCAGATATCGCACATTCGCCTGCTCTCCGTTTGGTTCCTGCGTTGGGCAATCTGCTGCCGCGTCCAGCGCTGCTTTACTCCTACACGTGTCTTCTCCGTGCAGCCCGGTCGCAATGGCACGCTCGTGCGCTGGAAACGCTTCGGCTTCAGACACAGCAAACACCGTTTCAGTGCCAATGACAGAAGGGTTGGTGACATTGAGCCCCTGATGGGATAGCAGAGTTTTCAAGGTAGTAGCTGTCTTCCCATGGTTGATCGATATTTCCGTCATGGCACGGTGGAATGGCAGTTTCCTGGGATGTCATCTCTGGATAAATTTCTAATGCAAGCATCTGACTCCAGGCTCTGACATACCCGCTGAGCTCTTTGCTTTCTCTCAGGAGTTTTTCCTAAACTCTTTTCACCTGGATGCTGCTCACATGCCAGAGTGTGACAAGCGCTCTACGGCTCCAGAGCAGAGAGTGTGTGGCTGCTCCCTGCAAGAGGCGAAGCCAGCTGAGCATCCGCGTGAGAGATGCTTTTGTTGAGCCCATCAGCATGCCTCATTGAGGAGCTCCTGTCTCCAGTGATGTTCAAAGGATGGCATTTAATTGCACCATGTGAGGAATGTTAATGCATGAAGTCTTTCGGCATTTGGAGTCATCGTCAGAAGCTGTTCCCTCTAAAAGTCAGTGGAGAGTGACCCACATTGCTTTTTATGCCTCTGAATGGGTCTACTGAGCCTCGCACACGAGAATAGCCATGAGGCTGGTTATTTTGTGCTACAGCTTTACGTTGTGAGTGTAACTTCATGGAGAGGGAGAGGCTCTTGGTGGCAGGAGGAATTGCACCATCTGTGAGTAGGCTGCTCTGTCTGTGCTGGATGCTCCTCTGGTGCTGGGGGGTATCACTCTACACTGTCAATGCACAGATGTAAACAGAACCACAGCGATGCACCAACTGCAGAGAGCTCCTCTGCGAACTGCACATGTGTCCGACCAGCTGGGAACAGAAAAAGCAATGAAGCAGGAGTACAGAGAGGAAACTTCTGCTCCTTTTCTTGCTGTTCTCCCAGAAAGGAGATAGCAGGGTGAAAATCTCTCCCATTTCTGAGACCACACTCCAAAAGTTTCCTTACTCTCGTGTAGCTGTTTTCCCCATTGTGTTTGTTCATGCTGAATGTTTTCTTGAGTGTATCATTTGAAAAACTCCTTGATGTTGAAGTGAAAAGGTGAAATGCATTTGCATAGAAGAACTTTACAATTTATTATGAAGATTTCAAATTATTCTAAAAAAGAGGAAGAGTAGGGTGATACCACTGGAGAATCCATCTCTTGTCTCTGACTTGCTCAGCCGCCACCTCCCAGTACCAATCAGACCGTTGCCTAAAATCAAACAAGCCGGGGCACAGCTTCATTTGACACTACTCGTGCCAACTGTGGGCAGGTTATGAAGTGTTTCAACAGGAGATTAATCCCTTTAGTCACAGACTTATTGGAGGAACTAAATATAGATATCTATCTCGCAATGACCCTTGCTGGGACCAGGGACGAGGTCATGAGAATCACACAGTGAGAGACAGAGTGCCTGCCATGGCAGAGAGGACAGTCCCTTGCGTGTCTAGAGCCAGACACCCACTGAAGTTGATAGGGACGCTGCTGTATTTTAATTCTCAGGAATCTTAGCTTGAGATTGCATCTGTTTCCATCTTCCTAATCAAAAGCAGTTCGGTTTGTTTCATCGTTATCCCAAATGTTGTTAAATCCTACAAATCCTGAGCTTAGATTGTTGGGGTTTTTTTTCCAAAATACTTTCTGAGCAGTGTGATAGATCTGCTCGCCCCTCTGGCTGTGTCCTCAGGCCTTTATTTCCTCCTGATATCCCAACAGCACGACACTACTCAGGGCAAAATTAGTTTGCACAGGCGTCTGAGGCAGCTCGGATTAACGCAGAGGAAGTCCACCCGGCACAGCAGTTAAAATGATGGTAACTCTCAGCCTCTGTGCAACCCAGGAGCTCCCGCTATCGATGCTCTTGGGGAAGCTGCGCTGACGTTTTGGGAAATGCTGGCAAAACAAAGCCACGCTATGGATTCGGCTTTTCTACGAAACGTGCTTAACTCATCCCCTATACTGTGTGTTGTGGCTCTTGCAGATCCTAGTGCTGCCGTTCCAGCTGGCGCCTAAAGCAGAACCAGCTGTGGAGTGAGATGTTCCCATGGCCGGGAGCTACTCTGTCCGCTCTGGTAGCCAGTAGGAATTACTGAGCGGTACACGAGGGATGCTGTGCTATTTCAACCAGCAAGGTGGACCAAAGAAATTGTTTACTTTCTCGGCATATAAAACTGAAAACTAATTGTGCTTTTCTCTTTCCTCAGGGTCTAATGGGTTTTATTGGTCCAGTGGGGGAGCCTGGAATAGTGGGAGAAAAGGTAAGATTGCTTGCAATGAACTGGTTGTTGTAACTTTTGCAGGATGAGGGAGGCTGGGGCGGGAGGAATATTGTGGGGATTTAAGTTATTGTGTCAGTGCAACACCCAGCTGGGAATGCAGCACATCCAGGGTGTCTGAGCTAGTCTTGGGCCAGGCAAAAATCATCCACTTCGGATTTAGGAATTAACATGCACTTGCCCTCCAAGGAGATGCTGTCAAATGTTCTCTGAAAATTTAAGCTTTATTCATTCATAATCTGCCAGAAAGCTTGTATTTAACAGTCAGTCTATTTTTCTTCTGGGGACGAGGGACCCATCAGCGCTGTGTTCCTGGTCAAGGGAGAAGTCCAAGGAGTTTAGATTACAGACAGATTTGTGCAGAGATGTGCTCACAAGCCCACGCTGAGTTGTCAATGGGGTTGCGCAGGACCAGGGCTGAGCCTGCACCGAACAGGAGGGCGCAGAAAATTCTTAGGTGCGGAGAAGGTATAAGAGTGCAGCCACCTATCTGAGCAAAGGCTGGTCCAAATATTTCCCTTTTTATTTGATGAGGACCATCTGGTCCGGCTGCCCCTCTGGTTGCATTGGGCACACTACTAAGGGCTGGTGCCCTCTTGTGTACAGTACAGATACGTGCTTCTTTCAGGAAGAAAAATGGCTTTATTTTCCATAAAAATGTAAATGGACATTAATTTGTTTTCTATTAGAGTGTAAAATTTTATTCAGGGGTAGCTTCCAAAGACAAATCATCTATGTCATTCATTGTAGCTCAGTTGCCGACTGCTGGGTTTCATTGGTGGTTTAATTATTCACAGTCCAGCCATAAAGATAGTAAAGAGCATAAAATGATGCATTCCACACATCAGTTCTCTCGCGCGCTTTTATTACTTCAAGCCCTGTCCTCTGGGTAATGATGTCAAGACTCTGTGACAGTTACACTGTGTTCGCTGGAAATGGGTTTTATTGCTTGTCTGCAGCGGCCTTTGGAAAGCTCGTCGCACTGATGGTCTCTGGTGGGGCAGTAGCAGAAGCAAGCTCAGTCCAAACTGTCAAGGCACACAAGAAGTAAAAGGAATGATGTGATGTGGGCTGCGTTTTACAGAAGGAAAACAGAGGAATAAAGAGTCTGTGATGTGTCCAAGGTGCCTGAGCAAGCTGTCTCAATGGCAGCTGCAGCCCTGAATCAAATGGGGAATAAGGGCTTTGCCATGCAGGAGACGTGGGAAGATCTTTTTCCCCACTCCAGTAGGTTCACATCTGGCCCTGTGACTTCCATGCCAACGCTTTGACCACATGAGCTGTCCTCATCTCACAGATCGACTCTGTAACACGATGATGTTATGTTGGTGTCCAGGCAAACCTGGGCTATCCTTTGAAAATCTGCCTTAGGAGATCCTCAGCACATCTGTGATTTCTATCAGACTTCTCTACCAGGACACACTTACGAATGACAGAAGTAACTATCATCAAAACAAAAGCTCAGCCAGGCCTCCAGTTGGCATAGCATCCTACGGCTTACTATGCTGTTGTGAGCTAAATGAAGTGGGAAATATGCTTTCATTAGACATAGCTGAGTCAGCAATCTCCATCCCGAGAGCTGCAAAACTTAAGACTGAAGCCAGTAGAATCCAAAGATTATCAAAGAGAACAATACAGTTAATACATACTTAATAAAATCCGTGCATTCGGGAGGTGGGGGGAAAGTCCTTACATTGGTTTACAAGGGCCAACTGGTGACTACACGAACTCTGGGGTTTGTTTTCAATAAGCTGCTTAGAGCCCAGAAAATATTTCCCCTTACACTTTAGCTGTTGGAAGGTAGGTCAGATTTTGGGCGTAAGCTACTTGGCAGCATTTGCTAACTCCTCCTTCCTCATCCCCCCAAGCACATAAACGTAACACACCTAATTCCCAGTGTGTTACTGGGGCTGCGAGGGAGAGTAGAGGCAGTCGCGGTGGGAATTGCCCCCATCTCCAAAAAGGAGCAGTCGACGTCCCATCTCTAGAGCTGTGCCTTCGACTCGCCTTTGTGTCACAGGTTGTGGTGGTGCTCACGGAGGTGTACACCTCGTCTCCCGTTGTTGGCTGAGCTGTGGGGCCGAGGATGTGCACAGGGGAAGTGAGATGTTCTGCATGTGGGGATAAGTAAGAATTTAGGAATTAATAAGCGATTTTTTGGTATGATCATTTTTTTAATGCCAAATGGTGCCTTGTTTTGAAAGGGCTGATATCTTTAGGGTGGGCCGTGGAGACATCTGGCTCTGAACCCCTCATAAACACGGGCCTCCAGATCATTGTTATTTGCACTATGGCCTCAGTATGAGGCCCAGGATAGGCAGTCCCCCCAAAACACCTATGGTCTCCTTCTGTAAACACCAGCTGTCTGTTCCATGCAGCATCTCTGTTTTTTTCCAGATTGAATTCCCTGCTCTCATCAGGGCCTCATCACCACAGCTTTCAAATCTGTGCCTCTAAAAATGCCAGAACATGTAGGGATTATGATATTGCAGAACAGAGAGGGATGTCATGCCTTGGGTGGGAAGGGCTAGAGATCTCCTGGGATCCAATCCTAGCATTGTGTGGAGTTGAAGGTGGTCTTGACCACATTGCTTGTTCTTGTTCCTCAGTGTTTGATGGCAACAGTAAAGTCCTCTCTCTTGGGATATGGAGGATTTGTTAATTCTTGCTGTAGTCCTTTAGCTACTCTGATGAGATGGATACTTGGAAGAGGGTGATGATTATTCTGTATTGGAAGTCTTTCTGGTAGAAATTTAATGGCATAGACTGCAGCTTGTGGATCTTTTAGTTGTTTCATTGCACTAGATCCCCGTTGCTGCCAGCTCAGAGCGCTTGTTAGCCAAAGTCCTCACTCTTCCCCACGCATCTGTGTCTTTCCTAGGGTGACCGTGGCTCAGTGGGACCCCCAGGCCCTCCAGGAGTCAAGGGGTCGATGGTAAGGAGTAAGTCTGCATTCTCTCGCTCTTGCTGCTGCCTCTCTCTCTGTATCCTAGCGAAGAGTGCAGCTTCTTATGGTCTTTCAGTTACACGAGAATAGCTGCAAATTCTTCCTGTGTCTGTGGGGATGGGGATGGCTATTTGACTGACTGGGGATTGAGGTATAACCTCATCCCAGCACTCCTGTTCAGCAATTTCCCCTTCAGAGAAACACTGGGTTTCGACATATTCTGCAGCTCCATCAGCTGAGGACCTGTTGTGTCAAGCAGAGCTAACTAGGAGCTACAGGCTACGGTGCCTGAAGGACTGCCTGTTTCCAAGGATTCTGGCAGCTAAACAGTTGGGATCCAGGAACCGGGATTTCCAAACCTCTGTTGTTCACATCCCGCCAAGTTGCCAGGAGCAGCTGGAGATGGGGGGATCCTCGTTTAGGAGTTTAACAGAGGGGACCTCAGCAAGGTCTTGTCTTTCTCTGACACTCCTGTGTACCATAGCATAAGACCCAATGACAAATTTTCCCATTAATTCAGCCCGTTCTCTTCTGGGCTGTTCAGAAAATCTAGCCGCTTCTATTGCTAGCAAGGTTGGAGCTGGGCTTCTCCATCTGCCCCTGAGCAACCTTACCCTGACAAATAACAGACCTGCCTGACCTTGCAAGCAACCAACGATGCCTTTTTTCCTGTCTTCCCACTTGGAGGAAGAAGGGCTGAGCAGATCCCGGGAATTCACACCAGGTGTGTTCTTCTTCCTTCCCTTTTAGGGGCACCCCGGGACACCAGGAGGAGTGGGTTTTCCTGGGATCCCTGGACCAACAGTAAGTAAAGGCTGTCATCACCTTGTAACACTGTGCATCAAAAATCAGCATCCCGTGTCCTAGGCATTCACGGGCTGAGTCAAGCATCTGCGTCCCAGTTGATCTGAGTTTGGTATGAGCAAGAGATGTGGGGCAAGGGATGAGTGCAGCATGGGAAGAGATGCTAAAAAAAATCAATTGGTGCTTAATCCAAATTTTTATAGCTCATTTCCCTAATGAAGGGTCCAAAACTCACAACCCAGCCTCGGTCTTTTAGCGGAACACAAGCTCGCTAGCTCAAGACATTATGCAAGGCCCTCTGCTTCTGGTAGGAATGGGTGGTGGTGGTGGCGATCACCCCATACCATGCAGTGGCTGCATTGGCAGAGCCCCTCACTGGAGGGAGAGGAGCAGCAGAGCAGCTGCCCCCAGATGCACCCTCCGGCTGGACGGGCTCATCTGGTGCATGTGCAGCTGTGGCTGGAGCATGCAATTGCTGTGGAGGTAGATTTTAGTGTGGCTGCGGTTTCCCACAGCCGTTGGTCAGTTGGAGGTCCGGCTCTCCCAGCAGCACAAATGCCGCCGCCTGTTGTTTGCTGGAACCAAGAGAATGGCAGCTCTGGGGGGGGACAGAGGAATGGATTTTGCTCAGTGTGGGAATTCCCACAGTGGTGTTAATTGGGAGGAGGATCACAGTAGCGAAGTGCCTGGGCAGTGCCAAAGGTTTGGCCTCCAGATCGGCGACAGCTCTGCCCACTGCGGGCAGCCCGGGGATGCTCTGGGCCCACCGGCCGCAGCCAGCTGCTGTCTGGAGAGAGATTTCACAGTTGCAAGTCAATGGAGGTGAGGCAAAGAAATGGTGTGAGGTCATGCAGCACCATACGGTCACCCATCCCTACCTGGAGAGCAGTACTGTGGCACTGGCCAGGCCCTTACAGTAAAAGGAGCGTGACACTGCCTGCAGCCCCAGCGGTGAGGAGGCAGCTGGATATCTCTAGATGTCCCTTTTTTTAGCAGCTTTTCCAGCACATTAGCTGCTGTGTGACTTAGGGGTGGCCGGAGCATTAGGCAGAGCCTGCTCCGTGCTGTGGGCTCTGGGGGGGGGACAGGAGTGCCCGAGGGCAGAGGGAAGTTTTGCACTGGCCCTGTGGCAGAGCTCCCAGTCCTGAAGGGATATCTACTGCACCACTACCTACTACCTGTAGTTGAGGCTGAGTTTTGTCTTACTTCACTGGGGCGTGATGACAACAGTATGAGCAGAGACATCAGCTATGACTGGAGATGCCGAAACCTGTCTGCAGAGCTCTGGGAGCTGAGACCGTCCCCAGGTCCTTCCGCTTCCTTCAGTTCCCTGTTCTCCTGCAGGCAAATAACTAGCAAGTTCATCCAAGCAAAATGTTTCCTCCAAGACTGCATTTTAAAAAGTCATAATTCAATAAGTCAAACTTCCTCACAAAGCCAGTAAATCAAATAATCCCCTAATATCAAATCCCCACTCATTAACTCCAGCTGTTTCTGCCTGTTTCTCCACGAAACATTCATTATTTACTTTTCAAGCCAGATCTGAGGCATGCTGTTGTTGTTTGTCCTAAACTGTTAAAATCTTTGAAATTAAGCTCTCCAGTGAGCCTTAGCAGCTCCGATGGCTGATTAATTCAACAGAGGATGATTGGGAATGAGGAGCAAAGGTATAGTCAATGGTAGGAAACTCTACCCTTAGTTTCAGCTCACTGAGGCTTCTGAATTCCTTTTCCCTCTTCCTGCTCACCATCACGGTACATCTTTTGTATTAATGCAAAGTTTTGAAAGTCGTGTATACATATAGGTATATTAAAGGTCACTCATCTTCTCCTAAAGAGATCCTTGAAATTCCCAGCATGGTATCTAGTTGCTCCCTCAACATTTTGCCATCACAACGAATGTTTCTGTGTTTGTATTTTCATGAGCTATTTGGGACAGGCTGAGGCTTCCAGGAGGATATTCCAAATACCAACAAAAAATTTCATTTCAGTATGTGTTTATCATAAAAATCTCTATAAAACAGGCATTTGACACATCTACTGCTTGTCTGTGCCAGTCACTACTGACCTCACTAGCAAAACCGAGATTTACTGGGATTACAAATATAGTTACAGTCAACTAACTTTTCCATCTTGAGTGAGAACAGCTAAGCATTTGTCTTCTGAACTTACATGCCATGCAAAAAGATACCTCCGTTCCAAAAGCAAAATCTTTATTAGTGGCAGTGGTACAAGCAGTAGGAAGATCACAGTCCAATTTTGTTCTAATCCTTGGTGGAGTTTGCAGGGTTGACAGTTGGTAAAAGCTATTAATATATAAATAGCAAAACTTGATGTGGAATGTTTGAGAGAGTAAGAATGGAATGTGTCATTTTGAGGTTTTCTTTTCTGACAGTAGAAAGGCATTAACTTCAAATCCGGCTTTTTAAAGTTATAATACTGAAATAAGTCCTGCTAATTGAACATATCCTTTAATTTTTGAAACTGATAAATATTGTAACAGAAAGAAAAAAAAAGAAAAAAAGCTGTCTAATTTTCTTCTGCTTTTCCTGTATGTACATTAATGAATCAAGTGTGTACAAATCCAGGTCAAAAGAAAACCTGAACCCTTTCTGTAAGTGTAAGAAGAACAGGACCACATCCGCAACACCAACAGTCCAAATTAAATTAGCATCTATCTGCCAGTATGAATATTTATGCAGCACTAACAGGGCAACAGTTACTTGAAGATAAAATCAGCATTTGGCTGAAAAGGTCAAACTTGGATACCTAAGATGAGGTGTCTGATTTTGTATTTGGACAACTGAAAAACAGATCCTGGTTATTATTATTTTTGTACAGATACTGAGAAACAGCTGCTTTTAATAGCTTCGGAGGGAATTCTGGATGTTCGACTTCTCTTCAAATCACACCACTTACACAAACAACAGGCTGTAGATATTTAAGCATACGAACCTCAGCCAGGATCCTTGGCCTAAATGTTCATAATCCAAAGACACTCAGTGAGTTAAAAAAAAAAAAAAAAAAAGACCATTTATAGACAAGTAAATATGATAAGTTTTTTGGCAAGGGTTTAATGAACCAACCTGCTGGTGAAGGTTCTGCGTCTGAGGCCCCTGCAGATCACGTAAGGATGTGGGGTCTTGTCGACAGCTGCTGCCTTCTTCCTCCTCCTCCTCCTCCATCTTCATTTTGTTTCTCTTTTCCCCTTCCAGGGTCCGGCAGGAGTCCGTGGTGCGCCAGGGATAAGAGGGATGAAAGGCCGCAGGGTAAGCACTTTCCATCAGCTTTTACCCCTCTCTTCTTCCAGCTATTGGAAAAGTAATCTGGTGGGTTAGTGTCAGGGGGTGAAGATGTGCAGCAGTTGAGGTAGCACCTCCACAGCCATGTTTCTGCTGTGCGTAAAGACTGCGGTTGTTGAAGCAAGTCTTACCAGGGATGTGAATGCAAATGATGTGCACGGGCAGAGGGGTAGATTTTATCGTGGAAGTGGTCCAACTTGTCTTTTCCAACAACCTGCAATGTCAAAAGAAGGTTTACAGACATTTCTGGTGAGGATGGTGAAGATTTAGTCATCTGAAGATGCATCTGGGCTGGGGAAAAGGGTGCAGGTAGAAGACCAGAAAAGGTGCCTTTGCTGCCAAGGGAGAGAGAGCAGTTGAGATGTGAAGTGTTGTGATTTAACTGGAGGCAGATAAAGCAGGAAATGTTATGCCGTGACATAGAATTAAGAGACGAGGCAGACAGAAACGGAGCTGACAAGGAGCTGAACAGTCAGCTCTTCCCATTTCTTCGCTTTAAGTCTCGCAGGACTAATGTCTTCTGGCAGCCTTCCACCGGGTTGTGAGAAAGGTGTGTTTTGCATTGTCAGTAGAGCAAATTATAAGCATGTCTTATGTCTTTCTGTGGGTTTTTCCAGCCCGTATCATAAGGCCCTGATTTTATCTATATGTATCCAAACAGTACCACACTGTAAAGCACATGCGGATCATCGCTCTGCCTGGAAAGAGCAGACCCCAGCTTAGTAGCGGGTAATGCTAGCATCACTGACAGTGCAACAAGTACATGTTACACTGGATAAATCTTTCACAAGCACTCTGTGTCAGTTCACTTGTGGTTCTTCCTGCTCTGTTTGGGTGACAGCCGACAGCAGAATGACCTCTAGACCTGCCAAAGCTGCTTGTTTTCCTGCCTGTGACATCTAATCCACGTCCCACTGAGCTCCTCAATCTTTCTTCTTCTTCAACGGGACATTTATTGCAGGAGCATCCTTGCTCTGTGTTGTTTTTCCTTGTCCAGATGCTTTACAAAGTATTAATAGCGAGTGCACATGGGTTCTGCTGAATGCCCCAACAACATATTTTGCATTTCTCTCTCCGAGGACCATATGACATCTGTTTCCATGTTTCATTTTCAAAGATGAAGGCTGGAGTAAACTATACATTTTACCCACCCCCAGTCCCTGCTTCTACTGCAACTCCTGCTTGGGGAATTCAGGACAGCCAAGGATTGCATATGTTTCCCTATGCCAGGGCTAATACTCACTTCAAATAGCTGGGACTGGCCACCAGAAATGGAATAACCAACTAGAAGGCTTTATAACCACAGAGCTATGTACACTGGAACTGCTTTAAGCTTTAAAAGCACAGCTAGAAGGACACCAAGCCCAGCGGGTGCATATCAGGGTTCAGCTTTTAACATGTGGCTGGGAAAAACAGCTTCCTTGCTGCCGTTCTCTTTGGTGGGAAGGACCATGGATCTCATTCCCCGGCTCCGCTCTCAGAGGGTCCCCTGGGGAGCGAGGTTTCTCTGTGCTATGTAGCAGCAATTAACTGAGCTGTTCAGGACATCCATGATCATGACGGATGAGAAACTGGCGGCGCTTTCACAGGAGGCTTTGAATGGATGGCGGAAAATATCTCAAGGTGAAACTACAGCGCAGAGCTGAACGGGAAACGCCTTCTGAATGAACCCAGGCTGCCAACTGCACAGGCTCTTGGAGAGGTGGGTCCACCAAGGGGATCAGACATTTCTGCCAGCGCCTGTGATGTGTGCAGTGACAGGAGAAGGAGTCCCAGTGCTGCCTTCCCCCAGCTGCCAGCCGGGGATGCCAGCCGCATCCCCTGGCACTGAGCCTCTCCTTACGGCAGGCAGTTGCGTGCAACTGCGGGTTTGGGTCTTGGGTTGTGCAAGATTCACTCACATAAATCTTCCTCAGCTTCTTACTTCTGCGTTGGCCTAAAGTCCACAAGCCACAAGGACATTACAGCTGACTGTGCCGTTTTCAGCTCCACTCGTACTGTCAGGAATGACAAAGGTGATATTTATTGTCATATGAGGTAAAACCAAGAGCAAAGCTGGATTCAGCTCCTAAGAAAGGAGGTTGGCCGGCACAGCAGGGACCTGCCTTTGGGTGTAGCTAGATCCAGAGAGAGGGTGCCAAACCATGAGAAGAAATCCTGCAGGACACCAACTGCTGCCAGTGCTATCCATGCTCAAAATGACGTACCACGTGGTAGAGGCGTTCAGCTTCATGGCTTTGGGTTGCATTTCCTCTCCAGATGTTGATTCTGGCAGACCCTGTGCCAGTTGTTCCCCCTGGACATTTCTCCACTGAGGAAGCCCAGACTTCAAAGTGCACCCCGGCCGTGAAAACCAGAAACGCAGCAGTGTCTCTGTCTTGGCTGGCTGCAGAACCCTGCAAAAAGTCACCCCAGGAATTGCAGAACGTGGGTGTAGAACAAGAGGCAGCGCCCAGGGAAGAGGGTGCATTAAGGTCTTGATGTTGCCCTAAGGACACCAGTATCAGCAAGGGGTAAGCCTCTGCTAGCGGCGCTGAGCATCTGGGTCTGCTGCTGGTGCTCTGCGCTGATCCTGCCTTCAACACCCACTGCTGGACTGTGGCGTGGTGGAGATTTGGTGCCTTTGAGCACCGCAGTGATATAATCCACACAGAATTTCCGAGGCAGACAGACATCCTTTCTAAGATCCCCAGCAGAGAGGAGGAGCTTGGGCTTTGCTCTGAAATCCTACAGATTTCAGTGAATATGATGTCGGTAGGGACCAGCAGGTCTGCCTAGAGGATTTCTGGTTTGTATATCTCTCTCTCATGTTTTCCTTCTCTTCATACTCTCAGAAGATATTCCAGGCACATAGTATTCTTTCCTTAGTTTGTCCTGCTATTCTGGCTCTTGGTTTTCTCGGGGTGGGGAAACGATCCCCCAGTTGCAATTTCAGACATTACCCTCTGTCTATCCTAGTTTACAAAAGGGATGTAATTCAATTCAGAGTGGAAACATGAATGCCGCCTCCACCAGATGTTTGTGGATTCCATGAGCTCTGTTTGTGGATACTTCATTAAAGTAATTTTGCTTTTGAAGGAAACGTAAATAGCAAATATGGTTTTGATTGTGAAGAAGAATGGCAACTTTTGGGGGTCTGTGTTTACGTTGCAATAGCTTTTGTATTTTCAAGATATAAGTACAAATTTTTAAAAGAAAATTCTTTTAAAATTGTAACCTCCTTTTTAGTCATGACAGGACTATTGTTCCTTCCCACATCTTTGTTTAGACCATCTAACTGATACTGAACAATCTTCCACAAACACGTTTTCCCTTCTTCCCTTCCCTAAGGACAAGAAACTTGGACCTGTGAGCCCAGGTTTATTTCCCTTCATCCGTACTCAGTGTAGTGCTTAGACATGTGCTTAACATTCAGCGAGTGACAGCTATGCACATGTTTAAACCTAATTATTTAACCAAATCAAGGTTTAAATTTGGAGGCAGCTGATTCAGCAAGTCCCTCACCCTATCTCACTTAAATTGAAAAGCACATTTCTGTTAATCAGCTCCTTGCAGCAGGAAAACCTGTGGTCTCCAGCATTCTCTGCCAAGAATATCTATATCAAAAAGCCCAGGTATTGACTGAGAATCTCTACAAAAGGCTAAATATCAACTGGAGCCATGACTTTGCAACTCAGATCACAAAGCTGCCCCTGAAATCCTGCTGTAAAGTGACTTACCTTGCCCCATTCTTCTGGCCAAGGTGTCTGTCAATATTTCTGGCATCTTATCCTCTCACTGGAGGGGATGCTGGGTACTGGCTCAGGCCAGAGGAGCTTTTCAAATCCCAAAACGTATTTCTCTTTTCTGCTGTGCCATTCATTTATCAACCTCCTGCATTAACTATTGCCCAGGTGAAGCCTGCAAAGACGAGATAAGGCGTGCAGAGCTGTTCTCCCAGCACTCTGCCCAGGTGGGGACCGCTCTTCT